TGAGTGTGTGTCTTAAATGCATATGTGTGTGTGTGTGTATATGTCTGTGTTTAAGGTTATGTATTGTGTGTGTCTTAAGTGCATGTGTGTGTGTTTGTGTGTGTGTGTGTGTGTGTGTGTGTGTGTGTGTGTGTGTGTGTGTGTGTGTGGGTGTGGGTGTGTTTGTGTGTGTGTGTGTTTGTGTGTGTGAGTGTGTGTGTGTGTGTGTGTGTGTGTGTGTGTGTGTGTGTGTGTGTGTGTGTGTGTGTGTGTGTGTGTGTGTGTGTGTGTGTGTGTGTTTTAAGATTATGTGTGTGAGTGTGTGTTAAGATTATGTGTGTGTGTGTTTTAAGGTTATGTGTGTGTGTGCTTCTGTGTGTGTGTTTTTGTGTGTGTTTGTTTATATGTGTTTGTGTGTGTGTGTGATTGAATGCGTGTGTGTAAGTGTGTGTGTTTGTGTATTTTAAGGTTATATGTGTGTATTTGTGTGTGTGTATGTTATGTATTAACCTCATTGCGTGTGTACATGCATATTCTTTTGTGCCTGTGTCTGTATCTATGTTGATCTTGAAATACGAATGTATTGCGAAATCTCCCTAACTTAACACACACAAAAAGCCTTAAAGATATCACCATTTGAATTAAGTACTATCTAACTTACTCTAAAGGGAAAAAAAACGTGTGAATTGCATTACCATCAATTTGATTCATTAAAACCATGACTCACTTTAATAGTAGACATCATGAAGGAAGGAAATTGTACTTATTAGGTCTTATAACCCACAAAGACAGAAATAACATGTATATCCGTAAATTTTCCTGAATAGAAGAAAAGAGAAAAAATCGTCATGGGCGTGGAACGTTACGAGAAGATAAATCAGAAGATAAATATATATAAATAGACAGATAAACAGTCAGCCAGCTCACTGAAATACCACATTAAAGCACACAGATAGACCATCAACTCACAAGAGAATACTCAGTCGACCTCCAAAGATAATCTTGTGAATTGAGATAATAATAATAATAATAATAATAATAATAATAATAATAATAATAATAATAATAATAATAACAATAATAATAATAATAATAATAATAATAATAATAATAATAATAATAACAATAATAATAATAATAATAATAATGATAATAATGATAATAACAATAATAATAATCCATAAAACTGCCTCACACAAAAATAGTTCACTGATTCTCAACAACTGATTTGTAAGATTAGTCCACTGACTCACAAAAACAGCCTCTTATTTCATGCCAACAGGCTACTTACAAAACTGGCATTGGTTCACGAGAATAATCTACTGACTCATACGATCAACTGACTCTGAAAATACACTGATTAACAAAATAGCCTTGACTTACGAAAATGATAACCCGACTTAGAGTGACTCACAGACATAATCCAGACAAAAAAATAGGCCACTGAGTCACAGAAAAAGTCTAGTCTAGTGCTTCACGGATATGGGCCAGCGACTCACAGAAATAACGTAGTGACTTACGGAAATATTCCAGTGATCTCACAGAAATACTTCTTTGTCTCACAGAAATACCCAAATCTATCAGAAATAGACCAAATTTATCCCGGTACTCAGAAATAAAATAGATCAGTGACTCCTACAGAGTACAGTCACTCAGAAAATGGCCCAGTGACTCACAGAAATAGCCCAGTGACTCACAGAAATAGCCCAGTGACTCACAGAAGTAACCAGGATTCCCAAAAATAAACCACTAATTCACAGAAATAGCCCAGTAGCCCCAAAAAAACATCCTAGCGGTCCATATATCTAGCCAAACGAAATATCCTATAGTCTCACAGACATCGCCCACAGACTCAGACGAAAAAAAAAATCGCCTCTCCGCTCGTAGAAAAAAAAAAGCCCCAGCAACTCACAAAAAAAAAATATATATATCTCCACCAGTTCACAGAAATGCTCCTTGCAACTCACATGCACTTCTCTCCCGTTGACACGAAAGGAGATGACGGCAGGAGGGCGAGAGTCTCTCACTGTGCAGTTGATTCGCAATGTATCCCCTTCAGTATACTTAATCTGTAGCCCCGTTATTTGGGGGTTCTGTGGCATCTCTGTGGACGAGGAGAGAAATATTGCGTCAGTTGGGGATCGGGGAAAAATATAGTCATAATGATGATGATATTTATGAGGATAATGAAAATGATAATGATAATAATAATGATAATAATAATAATAATGATAATTAATAATGATAGTAATAACAGTAATGATAACAATAATGATAATGATAATAATGATAATGATAAATAATGATAATGATAATAATGATAATGATAAATAAATAGAATAATAAATAAAGTATAAAGTTTGTTGATGTTTTTGAAATGTACATACAATTTTGAAAAAAAATAAAAATGAAAAAATATATTTATACATATATTTGATATATACATATATATATACATATATATATACATACATACACACACACACACACACTATATATACTATATATATATATATATATA